TCTCTCTATTTCTTTCGAATGCATCCGTATGATTGGATGTTAGCTCATTCATAGACATATTCGGATGGTTACGCTTGGCTAACGTTGTGCAATAAACGAGAGCGCGAGGAAATCAAGATAAAATAAATTATTCAGCGAAAATGTACAGAGAGGAGAAAAAGAACGAACACGACAACGCTAGAGAGGCAATGATTGATATCTTGTTTTATTGCAATAATCACTTATCAATATAATAGAGAAAAAAAAACGCAATTGGTAAAAATTATTGTCATCGAAGACGACAGTAGTACGTCCTTATTGATTTATTGACAAGGTTTTTCATCCATTCTCTTTTACGTATACGTACCGGTTGGTTGTTTCGGTTCAGTGCGGTTTGAGTGTTACGAAATATTGACTAATAAAAATGAGGTTGACAATCGAAACAGTATGATTTACAAAACGCTACTATATTCGTTGTCAATTGATTGGTTGTAATAGGAGAGGAAAAAGAAGAAGAACTCTCCCCCCGATCATTTTCCTGTATCATATCTTTCTCTTTCTTCTTCTTCACCTCCTTCTCCTTCTCTCTTTTCCGTCTTCTTCTTCGTTGAAGCGCGAAGAGCAAGAAGTAGCAAAAGGATTTGTTAATTGAAAAAAAACCTCCATCCAACAGTTAGTTTGAAAGAAGAAAGACTTTTCATAAGTAAAAATGGTCTCACGTCGTTTAGATAAATTATATGCAGGTAAGACATTCCTTCCGGGCCAAACTTCAAATGTGTTCAGCCCGTATGAGACATCATTCTAACACTTGATTGTTCAAAATAAAACAAACGTGTGAAAATTCATTTGTTTCTCTTCTATTGTGTTTCAGGTCTGGCGTTAAATAATAAATTCTTACCCATACACTGTGTGGTCACACGAGATGAGTGTCCACAACGTGTGTTACAGGATGGTTTTGTGATCATTCCAGCACAAACGAAATTTCATGATATCGTCTCCGTTGTCCTACGTAGTATGGAAGCTGATATGGGTAAAATTGATAAAGAAGAAAGAATCTATGGTAAGAGTGGAGAATGCCGTCGGAAATCTTTGTTTGATGTGCCATTCTTTTTTCCAGGCGAAGTTTTGATTAAAAATTGGAATCCATTATCAATCGAAACAGTTACAGAGGATCGGACAGTTACTGTTCAAGATATTCTAGGTGATCTTATGAATCTTGCGGTCCTTCAAATTCGCATATCGAAGTAGGAAGAGGAGAAGAAGAAGAAGGAAGTGTTTCATGTTCTCCTTTCGTGTTTGATTTTGTAGGTATTCGAATTCATGTGAAGATAAACGATCAAATCAGTTATTTAAACAATCATTATCATTAGTCAATGATGACCGAGAAAGAAATGATTGCGAATACGATGATGAACAAAGTCCAAATGGGTATTCATCCAATTCCAATACTACTGACGGGTAAATCGACAGCAATCATTACTAATTATACTCTTCATTTCTCGTTCTCTTGTCTTTCAGTGATAACATTCCATTGAACCTATCGAAAAAGCCGTGTTCATCATCATTAAAGCCAAATCTTCATTATCCAAATACATTTGCTAGTCTTCTTTCTTTAACTCAACAACAATACGATTCCAACTCAAACAATCGACGTCAACGCGAACGTACAACATTCGATCCACATGAAGAAACACCGCGCTTGTTACAAATTTTCACTGATACAAAGCATCCGACGCGTTACCAAATTGCATCAATATGTGAAACTCTCAATGCTTTACCATGTCGCAAAGGTTTGTCTACTTGTTTTTCATTTTCGCCAGCAACTAGTTGTTTCATTCAGGTAAAAAAGCTCTCGAACCGTACAATATTCAGTATTGGTTCAAAAATGCTCGTGCTGCACTGAAACGTAAAAAGCGTCGTTTCATCCCATCTGAAACTGCTTCAATTCAAGAATATACATCCAAATGTGAACTCGATTCATCCGATGAACTTGACGAAGATGCCGACGATGATCTCATGGATGACACAGATGATAACAATCAAAAGCCAAATAATTACTATATCAATTATTTACAAGCATTTGATATTTCTTTAACTGATCAACAAAAACAAAAAGCAACACATTCAGATGAAAGTAATGATGAAGATAATAATAGTGTAATTAGTAATGAACAATCACCATCAACGCAAGTATCGATGAATGCAACCAAATTGACGACATTTGATTATAATCGTTCGCGACGAAATCGAATTTTCATTGATCCAACAAGTGAAGTACCGAAACTGGAACAATGGTTCGCAATTGAAACACATCCTGATCATTTACTGATCGAACGTATCTGTTCGGAATTAAATGAAGGAGAATATCGAACAAAGTTCCCTAAGCTCGAAACTAAACACATACGTTTATGGTTTAAAAATCACCGCGCTAAAGTAAAGCGTATTTGTCGAATTCAAACATCTAACAATGAGAAAACTTCAGCAGTTACAACTGAAAATGACTCAGCAGACAAATAAAGAATTCCACGAAGATTTACGCTGGAAAGTTTTCAACTGTGATCATGTACTTTTTTCCGATATACTGCTGATAGACATTTGATTTCATTTCGTTGCATATTGTGATTCTTTTCTTTTGTCGCATTCGAATATGTGAACTCGTTTCTTCTTCTCCTTTTTCTGTTTCTGGATAAAAACTATATATGTCCAAATATTAGTATTTCTCTTAATATTCATTTTTTTGCCATGGTTTTTTCGATTCTTTGCTTGTTGTTGTTTTGTTGTTTATTATTTTCTTTTCGTTTTCATGATGACGGAAAAACCCGCATAAATATATATGTATAATCTGAAAGAAATCTGCAACGAAAATATTCGATCGTTAGTTACAGGTGCTTTCATTCGTTTTGTTTTTTTTTTGCGAATCAATGATTGTCAACAATGTTCAACCATTGCTTATGTTGCCACGATTTGATTCGCATGTCTTTCGACAACTATCGGAGAGTGTGCCCGAATCGCAAGTGGGCAGAATTTTATTACCAAGGTTTCATTCCGATCATCAGCATCATTTCTATGATGGAAATCAATCCGCCGAAGCAACCATTAGCCAAACGAATTTGCCAGGTATTGATCCTCATCCGAATAAATTCGACATGTAATTTATGCACGTTCGAGCTCAACAGAAGTTTTGCTTGGATTTTTCTAGAAAAGTCCTCGAACGTCCCTATGCTCAATCGGGAAAAAAATGCTGGCCAACAGTCAATACAAACATTACAAATCTCGATCTCGAAGTATAAACTCAATCTATTGTCCTTTCCTTTTGCAAGATCTCTTCTAGTATGCCTATGAAATCATCGGCGATACTCTCGAGTCGTATGTTCGCTACCGAAAGTTAAGTCAATGTAAAGCATTAACGAATTTCATTGATTATCGTAATAAAGTATATAAACGAGAAAAACTAGCCCAATATGCTTTACCAACGACAGAAATACGTGCGAAAGACACACCTACTAAGAAATCAGCATCTCCCACGCCAAAGATTATTCGTATAGAAGAGAAGCAATCATCATCGCCATCGACTATATCACAAGTACGTTGACGACACGGGCTATTTCTCCCGAGCTGTCATTTATATCATAATGAGATTTTCATCTGTGGCAAGCAAGCGAAAAAGTTTACTTTTAACTGTAGACTACGCCATCTCCATCTGCTCTATCAGTTAAGTCTTCGAATCCATCTCCGAAAATTATTAATGAATCACTGATTCAAATTCCGTCACCTGATTTACTCAAAAAATCTACGCCGAAGAAAGCTGTCTCACCAACTCCATCAAAACGAAATAATTTAGTTGTGCCGAAAAAGTTCATTAGCAATGTCAAACGACTGTCACCGCCAGTCAAAGGTCAGTCGTGATCAAGTCATGATTTCGTAGGTACTTCCCAGTACTTTAACCTTCAAATTTAACCCTTTACGGTCGGATGTTGCCAAATGGCAACATGTTTTCAAACATCTCTGTCTTAGTTCTTTGAACTTGTGGAAAGAATATCGTAGCATCCATATATAGACGATGCATAATATGCAGATTTAACATTTCTTTGTTCTTGTCTTCTGCGAGCCGACCGGAAAGGGTCAACTGCAGTTTGAGTTGATCCTTTAAATCTTTTACTTTTTCTTTCCAGGCCCTCCTAAAACCAAAACAAACGTGCCTCCAAAGAAAACTTTAACAAAAAATCATAATCAATCGAAACTAGAGAAGAAAAAGCCTGCCAGTTGTGTCATCCTCTAAATTGTCCGTTGTTTATCATAAACAAGATGTAGTCGTCGTTGAAGATCCTTGTTCGTTTGTTCATGACCAAAGTATGGTAAGATGATTTGTTGAACAACATTTTGAAATAATTCTTTTATCAGAATACTTAATGAATTGCCCGTTTGTTTAAAATCAGGATATGCATTTGCTTCAAGAAAATAAACTTGATTATTCTCATCGATAAGAAAATCAAACCCATAGATTTCGAAGGCATTTTTCAATGGCTGAAAAATTGGCGTTTCACTATGCAGACCAGTAAAGATTTCTTTGACGATAGTTTTGATTTGTTCGAATATATCTGAACGAATCTCGTCACCAAGTTCTTCTAATGTAAAGAATTCTTTCACTAAATCTTCCTCATCCAATGGCGAATCGATCTGAGCGCACGTATTTGTAATATGACAAAGACGATTGAACGATTGCCGGTCATTCTGATAGGATAAAGACGCAAATAATGCTAATATGCCATCATAAACATAAACACGAAGATTCTTCTCAGCAACAACATAAACACGTAAATGAAATTTACGATTCTGATAGGTTGAAAGAAGCTTAGGATTTGTTATGTATCGTTGAACAACCCATTCGCGAACCATGCTTATGTTGTTTTCCTCATCTTCATCCTCATCATCGTTATCGAATTTCGTAGTGAAGAAATCTTCTAATTCAGCTTGAGTATGAAAGATGAATAATTCGCTAGCTTTGTCTAAAATGGAAGCTTTGAGAATAAACGGAATCGGTTTATCTGTTGTTTCTCCGGCATTAGCTTGAAGTACATCGCGTAATTCGTAAGCTTCATTGAGCGCTTCGTCGAGATAGTCCGGATGAGGCAAATCGAGGATATGAGTCTCCGGATAATGATGACGCAAGATTGAGTCAGGTTTCTAACAAAAAAAAACAATGCACTGTAAGGCAAAAGAACACGAATTCGAATTACTTTGGAAAGATATTTTTGAACAAATAATGCAAAGTTAGCTTTACGTAAGAGCCCTTTACGTATACAATATGAATTAACGAGAATTTTCCTATTGGAATCTTTTGCAGCACGATAAATCATATCAAAATCGAGTTCTTCATATTCCAACCAATAGAGTACATTGTCGTTATTTGACATTGATGAATTATTAATTCGAAATAAATCATTTTCCTCTTCAAGAACGTTTCGAATCAAGTCATTTGTATACGAGCATATCATTTGAAGATGTACTTCAATCACCATCTCGCTTTCTTTCTTTTAATCTAAAAGTTCAAAGAGTTGTAATCTCTTATCACCAATGATTTATCCTATTCCATTGCTTATCATGTTAGAGTACCTGGAGAAGCCATATTAATATCCATTAAGTTGTCATTTTCTAACGAACTGACGAATCATCGTTGGTTACCCTTCTCATTCTCCTCGAAGAACAAACCTGTCATAAGACAAGGAACTCGTTCAAGTCATTTTTGGATACAAATATCCTCAGCTAATCAACATATGATTTGTTTACTCCATACATATTGACATTTTGTTTTACATATGTCATTCCCATCATTTGCATTGTTTAATCGACATCTTTCTGTTATTAAAATGATCGTTCAGAAGTTCAAATACCTACAATCTGATCGAACCGTTTCAAAATATTATGAACATCAACTGTTTGAGGTCTGTTCTCTCTCTCTCTCTCTCTCTCTCAATCCTAATGTACTCATTATCTGAATATCATGTACTGCTAAATCTCCTGACAGATACACTTTCTCAACTATTAATGCACATTAGATAGAAAGTGTCATGTTGATTTCTTCTCATCATGTCATTCGGAAAGAAAACAACTAATCTCTATTATTTGTAGGGCCATTTTAGATGTATAATTATAATACGATTTCTTCGAAGAAAGAGGAACGAAGAGGAGAATTGAAGTGACAATTTCTGTGAAAGGTCATCAGATGATGTTGAGTTCTATCTGAATATCGCGTCTTCAGATTAGTGTTTTCGTAATATGTCTTAGTAGGCTCAATTAGTTCTAAAAGACGATTTCTCGCCTCATTTTCTTTCCCTACATCCGCTTTCTTCCTTCCTGGATACGTTTAATTCTTTTCCTCGAATTTTATATATTTTACCATGATTTTCCTACGATCAAGGCTTAGTGGATATTTGTCATATCAATATTTATACATATTCGCAATACGAGTTGAGTGAGTCTCTTCGTACAAGAATCTAGATCGAAGTCCGTACGAAAGTCGGTTGATTCCAAGAACCAAATCTTCTTTTTCTTCTTCTTCTGTACTTCGACTACTAGGAGTTGTCATGATGTCTGCGAAGAGGTAAGCCGTTCTCATTATCATCCTTATGTTCTGCTATTATTCCTTATATTTTATTTCGCTTTATTAGCTATCACGATGTCAACTAGATACGTTCTTAATAATTATAAGGTAGATCATTTTTTCTAAACGCATCGCGTGTCTTCTTACATATTTAGATTATAACAGCGGTATTACACAGGGATAACAGGTCTCTCCTCCTCATTTTCTCCCTATGCTAATGATTGTCATTGCAAGATGCTTTATTCATTTGTATTCTCCGAATTATTAGTAGTGAAGAAAACCAACTAGTTTATCTTCATTTTCTTTTCTCCTGTCGACTTTGCGAGTGTAACATGAAACTATACAGAACAGCTAATAATATAACTCACGAAGTACTGTTTTACAAAACCAGTACAACGTATATTTACGCCGACCTCAACAGTCTATTTGATATATTTAACATGTTGAATTTTGTCTTAATGTTACATTTCTGTGCGTGCTCTATTGATTATATGCGAGGATTGTAGTCTCGTAAACAATATTTATGAAAAAAGCAAAAGGAAAGAAACAGAAAGACAATCATTTCTCGAAAGAAAACAAGCAGAAGAAGAAGACGAAGAAGAGAAAAAGAGACATACAGAGAAGAAAAGCCGGTTATTAGCTTATATAGTGTTAGACGAGAAAAAGAAGGGAGCGAAGGAGATCTTCATGTTTTATTTTATCGAAAAAAAGTAAGTATTATCGTTTTTCTTTCTCTTGTAAAATAACAAACGGAAGAGATAGTCGATTGGAGTCGACATTAGCCATATGTCTTTCTGTCTGCTAAAAATATTTCCATTTTGTTATTCTTAGTTAACTTGTCTGATCTGTAGTTGAGCAAAATGTGGTTGATGTTATTTACACATTACCTATTTGGTTATGTTGGTAAGTAAACTTG